CCTCATTTTACAGACGAGGAAACGAAGGCACAGCAAAGTTAACTGATCTGCTCAGCATCACAGAATTAGTATTTGAAGTGAGATTTGAACCAGGTCTCCCTGACTCCAAGTCCAGTGCCCTAACCACTAATATCACATTGCCTTTGAATGTGCTCTGGTAGGTGAGAAAGGGGCCATGGGAAGTTTACAATATACTCATACCAAAAAGGGCAGACCTGTACACAAATTTATATGAAGGGAATCACCTTTGTTCCTAGGAGCTCATGCTTCTTTCTGTGTTTGATGGTACAGCTATTAATTATGATTACAGATGATGGTTTCTATGTTTTCTAAAGTGGAATAACAAGGTACAAGAAACCTAAGAGTCCTTTCTTAAAAGCTGGGCAAGGAAAAGACTATATAGGAGTCACAGCTTCTAAGAGCTTCTCTTAACATCTTGGTAAGGTTATGTTTCATGCAATGCTGTTCATGGTCCTTATCTCTTTGAAATTATAAATTTCTTCACTTTAACAACTTAGGTATTAAAATGCTATCCAGGCTTAGCGAACTAGTCAAAGTAAGAAATTTTTCCAAGGATCTCTGAGTACAGAGTCTGAAATTAGCAGAATACTTATATACAAATAAATTAAAAGGAATGAGTGATAAAGTTGTTTTAAAATAATAGATCTTGGGAAAGAAACTTTTAAAAAAGAGGAATTGGCTATTAATCTTGTTGAAAATCACGTATGGAGGCAAAGTTTACCATGTCTGTGGGTACAACCAAAATTACATGGGACATTAACTTTTAAAAAAGGACTAAATCAATATAATTATCAAATAGTCAGACATGTTCCCAGTACATTCTTATCAGAAGCAAAGGACTTGATAAACAGTAATAAAAGAATCTTTGTTCCAAATATTCTATAATAAAAATAGTTTAATTAGGGAAAAGATACGTGTATTATATTTCTTTTATACTACAGTGGTCAGTGTTCCTCCTAGGATATGTTCATAGATAAATAGGCATCTGTCTCAGGTCTTAGATCATGAAACTGTAAGAAAGGCCATACACATACTGTAATAAGGTTGTTTTAGTATTTTGAATAATTCAACTCCTCTTGCATATAGTCCAACATTATTTATATCAAATTCTGTGTAGTATTGGTTCATTCTACAGAAGAGCTCCAATGTACTCTCTGGCATTTTCTCAGTCTGGCTTCCTGGAGAGTCAAGAAAGACTCTCATTCACCAGTAGGTCCCTAACAGATTCAGGGTACCTGTCCAATTTCTACTTCAGCTTTACTTCCTGTGTTCCATGGTCAGTCTTTTGCTGTTTGGAATGGGGGGTGTTGAGAAAAGAAGGCAGAGACTGAAGGAAATTTAGGTAACTTTTGTTTTAAACCAACAATAAGTCTAAAGAATGAGCCCATGATATATCAAAGCCATTAGCCTCCTACTCCTCCAAAGTTTAAGATGTAGAGGAGGTTGTTCAGTACGTCTCAGTCCATTTAGAGCTATTACAGAAGTACTTGCATTATTTCAACTATCCAGGTATACTTTCCCTTAGAAAAATCAACAATACAGTGGATTATGTTTCATCTACCTGTGTTCTGAGCAATAAATTAGGTGAAATAAAGGATTGTGTAGGTCCATATTACTATTTTCTCCTAAGAATGTTCCCTAAAAAATTCATCATATAGAAAGAAAACATTTGAAGATGTTCTTTTTTTTTCTATCTTATTCCATGAAGGAATGTTTCTTTCCCGATGTTTCTAAGTACATTCTTACTCAGCAGGAAAATCTGCTGAAAAAATTTTTCACTGTCCTAGAACTCATTCAAAACTCAGAAAAAGAAAAGGATAATTTCTGAGGCATTACAGGCCTCAAATATCCATGTGTGCAGAGAGGACTAAATCTATAGGCAAGTCCCACCTTTTACTACGTAACATTTCACTGAGCTCTCTGGATACCTTAATCGTTTTGTTTCTGTGAACAGCCCCAGGAAACTCAGGCAATGATTCATCTTACAATGTAGGAGCACCATCTAGTGGTAAAGAAGTAACTGCAAGCTATACAGTAAAACAGGAGGAAATGTTTTAGCTCACTATGCCTTAAGGCTCCCAAAAGGATAGAGTGAAAAGTGGGTACTGCTTATGCACACTCTTTTTTCATGTTTCCAGCTAGTTTGGTGACAAGAGAATGGATTCCTGGATGATTTCTGAGATCTCTTAAAAACCTATATTTCATAGAATCATAAAATCATATTAGATATAGTGAAATGTGAATCATTGTTAGAAAATTTTTGGTGAAATAACTATCCAAGTAGTGGTATTCTAAAATCCCAGCAAGTGAGAGTTATTAATTATGATCTCAGAACTCTCCTCAACTTGGTTATTGAAAAGACAAGGCAGAATTTCTGAACTACTAGAAAATTTAGGCCAATGTAACAGGTTTAACTTTATTTTGACTCTAAAAGATCTACTAAGTAAATAGTAATATGCATTACTTAGAATAAAAGTTAAAAAATTATAAAAGATGACATGTTTAATAAAGATCACTAAAATAATGTTGGCATTATGAAATGCATAGGAGAGAAAGCAAATCAAGGTTAGAAGTCATATATCTCACATCTCCTTTTTTTAGGAATCACAGAATCTTGAATGGGAAATGAACCTTAGTACTTAGAAACTACAATCTCTCACTTGCTGTAAAAAGAGCCCTTTCATGATATGTGTGTGTGTGTGTGTGTGTGTGTGTGTGTGTGTGTGTGTGTGACATTAGTCGCTAATCTATCACTGACTGGAAACTTGATGTCATCAGTGGAATTTCTTTGTGAGAACATTCACAAAGTACATTTGTTCTTGGTAGTATTTACAGAAGACTGGTATTTTAATCATTCTCTTTCTTGGGCTTTTGCCCCAAACACTGAAAGAAATGAAATGAAGTAATATTATTTTGGAACCATCAAGATTTAGCTAACAGGAAAAAAAAATGTGTACAGGCAATTTCCAGCTTATGAATTCCAAGGCTGACAAGCTTCTACCACAATATTTACCAGGTTTCTTTTATTTCATTGTAGAACACCTGAAGAAAGTACTACTAGATAATGAAAAGGAATAAAAAATGGGTAGCCATGAGGAGGAATCAGAGAAGCAACAAAGAAGCCTAGATAATACCTGCAAACTGGATTACGAAGAGGTGGCAAATTGTAGGTGTAATGTTTGAGAAGCCATTTTCAGACAGAGGTATTTATAACTTTCTAACTGAGAAGAATAGTGAGTAACAGTTCTGTTTCTGTTGTGAAAGATGATGAGTTAAATCTTAGAGATGTTAGCATATGAAAGTGTTGGCTGAGCCTGTGTCATGCTTATGGCAAATTGTGACACTTTCATTTGTTTTGGTTATAATAGTTTAAGTCACTAACTTAAAGGCAGAATGAGTTTTGGGAAAACAACTTCTAACTTAATTAAATCTATTTAAGGGGCATGTTTCTGATTAAAAGAATCACCGCAAAAAGTCTGTGTAAAAGATTTCAGAATCACTTGAGAGTGAAATAAAATTTTTGGTCCAGAATGTTAATAGGAGAGTCTAGTGATCCAAAAAGACCTGAGTGACAATAACAGCTTTATAAGCATATTACTATTTCAATAATTAAAAACGAAATTACAATTTAGGCCATCACTATTGAACAATGTATCAAATCAGAAAGAAAAATGGCTGCCTTCTTTTAAAAAAATTTTTTAAAGTCAAAACTGACAATAAGCTCTCTCATCTCTCCTCTCAAAATACAGCTTTTTTGACTATTTCTTGTGGAGATACCAGTTCTTGGCAAACCCATGCAGGATGTGCAGCCCTAGCAAATTCATATTTAAGTTGCTTCATAAAAGATCTTATTGGTACAGCAACAGATTTCACACATAAATCAGTATACTTGAATTAATCATAATTTGTTTCTTGGCTGATTATTATTATTATTATTATAAGCTCTCCCAGGGAAAATTGTTTCTTCAATTTTCCTTCTCAAATTTATTTTGGAAAGGACCCTATAAAACAAGTATATAGGGCCCATAACAACAGGATCACAGATCTAAAGTTAGAAGACACTTTAGAGGTAATCAAGTCCTGTAGGCTCATTTTGTAGCTGAGAAATCTGAAGCCCAGAGAGATGAAATGATTTGCTAGGGTCACAGTGCTCATTATGTGGCTAAGGAAGCAGATGAGCCCAGATCTTCCTACCTCCTGGTTTAGTCCTCTAACTGCTACTTAAAGGTACCTCTCTTCTCTCCTTGCTAGAGAAAATATATTACAAAGATACAGGGACATATTATTTTCTTGTTATCCAAGGATTTTGAATTCATAAGGCTAATATGGTACTTAAGTCAAGGTTGGTATTTCATGATACTGAAAGATTGCTGACAAACAGCAAACAAAATAGTTTCCTTTGTAATAAAACGCAAACATAAACAATTCCAGTTATCTCAGGCTTCAAATTATGGCTCTGATGAATAGCTTCTTGCTTCAAGAGCAGGCCTGAATTTACATTTCGTATTTTTTTTTTAAAGAAGAGGTCTTCTTTTTAAAAAGATCCTTTACATTTCAACAGTTGACTTTGGAACAGCAATTTGATCAGAAAATAAATGACTTGTGCTTGGCCTATACAGTCTGTGAAAAGCTGACAAACAAAACCTCAAACAGCATAAAATCTAAGTAGGAGTATGACTAATCTCTGCATAAAAATGATGGAACAAATCCAAGGCTCTTAGCTTGATTTATAAATTTCCATAGAATGTTAGAGTTGGAGACCTTAATGCTCAGAGTACAACACCCTTAATTTTACAAATAAACAAAGTGGGGCCCAGAGAAGAAGAGAATTGTTCAAGTATACACAGTGAGAGGTGGTTACCAGGTCTAGAACCCAAGATGCCTGATTCCCAGTTCAGTTTTCTTTCTACTCTAACAAACTCTAAAATTGAACAGCAAGTTCAATGGTTATTGGGATAGTTTAGTGAAAATCATATTACCTTGGCGACAGACCACCATGGGAACAATTGGTAGGTGAAGTCAAGGGGCTGGTCCTGCTACTGGTGTGTCTTGAAGGAGTTCGACCAATGGTATTGCTTGGAGAGCCCTGAAGCAAAGAGAAAAAGAAAGATCAGACAAAAATAGAGAGTACCACATAACAAACAATCTTGCCTTAAGTCTTTCCCACCATGTTTGAAACTACGAGCAATATAGATTTAAGCATTGCTATCATTGAACAAGAGTAAGGCTAATATAATAATGCACATAATTTATATTTTTTTCCTGCAACCAAATAGTTCCATTTTTTTCCAGTCTAGAAACATCTGACGACTACTAAGGGTAAATATGTTAAAGAAGCCAGTTAACAATTGTAACTTTGCAGCATCCATCAAAATAAATGCCTGAATTAAATGTATCAAAAATTCAGCCCACTGTGAAAATTTACTCTTAATAAGGATGAAGTTATAGTTACACATTAGACTGTTCAACATGGCTTCACTTTGTCCTTTGTAAAGAACATCTGCCTAGTCACAGAACTTCAGTTAAATTATACTTTTTCAGTGCCTTGTTTATCTACTAAGTCTGATGTTATCTCCAATTTATCCTGTCCATATCTTCTTTGTACATAGTTGTTTGTGTGTTGTCTGCCCCAATAGAACGTGAGCTCCTTGAAAGCTGGGATGTACATCTATCCGTCCATCTGTCCTTCCCTCCATCCTTTACTTCTTTCTTCCCTTCCTTTGTATCCTCAGTGCTTAGCACAGTTCCTGGTACATAGTAAGTGCTTAATAAAAATTAGCTGAATGACTTCATCATTCATTCACACTGGATAGAGGGCTGGGCATGGAGTCAGGAAGACCTAGGTTCAAAAACTGCCCCTGACATTTGCTACTGGGGTGTTCTGGTAAATGTTTAACAACTGGTTCCCTCAAAACAGCAGACACACTTTTAAGTTTCATCTGTATTATTAACATTTTCTCCATTACTTTATTAAGTCTAAACCAGTGCTGTCAAACTGAAATGGAAATGGATCCCTGAAGGTCAACATTCACTTAGAAAACTTCAAATTAACATTGTGTTGTATTGTGTTTTTATTTTTTAAATAGTATTTTTTCCCAGTTAGATGTCAAGAAAATTTTAGCATTCATTTTTACAAGATTTTGAGTTTCAAATTGTCCTCCTAACCTCCCTTCCCCTCTTCTGAAAATGGTAGGTAGTTTGATGTAGTTTATACATGTGCCATTATGTAAAAATATTTCCATATTAGTCACAGTTGCAAAAGAAACAGATCAAAAGAAAAAAAGCTATAAGAAGAATAAAGTAAGCAATAAAAAACACGCTTCAATCTGCATTCAGAGTCCATCAGTTCTTGATCTGCATATGGATAGTTATTTTCCTTCATGAGTCCTTTGTATTGTGTTGCTGAGAAGAGCCGAGTTATTTATAGTTGGTCATCCCACAACGTTGCTGATACTGTGTACAGTGTTTTCCTGGTTCTACTCATTTTACTTTTCATCAGCTAGTACAAGTCTTTCCAGGTTTTTCTTAAAGGTGTCTGTTCATCATTTCTTATTGCACAGCAGTATTCCATTATATGCACATACCACAGCTTGTTCAGCTATTCACCAACTGACAATGAACATCCCCTCAATTTCCAATGTGTTGCCACTACAAAAAGGGCTGCTATAAATATTTTTGCACATGTAGGCCCTTTCCCCTTTTTTATGATCTCTTTGGGATACAGACGTAGTCGTGGTATTGATGGATTAAAGGGTATGCACAGTTTGGTTGCCCTTTGTGCATGGTTCCAAATTGTACTCCAGAATGGTTGGATCAGTTCACAACTCCACCAACAATGCATTAGTGTCTCAATTTTCTTACATCTTCTGTAACATTTATCATTTTCCTTTTCTGTCATATTAGCCAACCTGACAGGTGTGAGGTAGTACCTCAGAATTGTTTTAATTTGTATTCTCTAATCAAAAGTTATTTAGAGCACTTCTTCATATACCTATAGCTAGCTTTGATTTCTTCATCTGAAAACTGCCTGTCCATATCCTTTGACTGTTTATCATTTGGGGAATGGCTTGTATTCTTGTAAATTTGACTCAGTTCTTTATGTATTTGAGAAATGAGGCCTTTATCAGAGACACTTGCTGTAAAGATAGTTTCTCAGCCTTCTGCTTTCCTTCTAATCTTGGTTTCATTGGTTTTGTTTGTACAAAAGCTTTTTAATTTAATATAATCAAAATTATCTATTTTACATTTTTGTAATGATCTCTATCTCGGTTATGACTTCTTCTCCTCCCCATAAATCTGACAGGTAGATAATTCCTTACTCTTCTAATTTGCTTATGGTGTCATCTTTTATGCCTAAATTGTGCCAAAGGTCCACCATATCTAACTTTTCTAATATTCTATTTACCTTCTTAGTTTCTTTCTTGTTTATTTTTTGGTTGGATTTATCAAGTTCTGAGAGGGGACAGTTGAGGTCCCCCACGAGTATATAGTCTTGCTATTTCTTCCTGTAACTCACTTATCTTCTCCTTCATGAATCTGGATGTTATACCGTTTGGTGCATATATGTTCAGTATTGATATTGGTTCTTTGTCTATGGTACCTTTAGCAAGATGTAGTTTCCTTCCTTATCTCTTCCAATTAGGTCAATGCTTGCTTTTACTATGTCTGAGATCAGGATTGATACTCTTGCTTTTTTCACTTCATCTGAAGCATAATAGCTTCTGCTCTAGTCCCTTACCTTTACTCTGTGTGTGTCTCTCTACTTCATGTGCATTTCTTGTAAACAACATATTATAGGATTCTGGTTTTTGATCACTATGCTTCTGTTTTATGGGAGAGTTTTGTATTGTATTTTTAGTGGCAGCGAGGTGGCACAGTGGATAGAATGCTGGGCCTGGAGACAGAAAGACTCATCTTCCTGAGTTCAAATCTGGTCTCAGACACTTACTAGTTGTGTGATCCTGGGCATGTCACTTAACCCTGGTTGTCTCGGCTCCTCATTTGTAAAATGAGTTGGAGAAGGAAATGATAAACCATTCCAGTATCTTTGGCAAGAAAACCCCAAATGGGGTTAGGAAGAAACAGACACAACTGAAAAACAACACTGTATTTTTATTTATTTATTTTGTTATGTTTCCTGATTCCATTTTACTCTGGTTCAGCCTATTCAGAAGTTTTGGAAGGTACAAGTTTGACACCTCTGGTCTAGACAGTCATCAAAACAAAAAATTAAAGCCTGATTTGTAGTCTGCTGATTTCCAAGGTGTAAATGCTTACACTGAAAATTTAATAATCGGCAATCTGGTGAAAATGGCTCTAGCACATCCCTGCTTATTATTATTACTAATATAATCATATAGTAAGTCACTTAACTTCTCCAAGCCTCAGTTCAGTTTGCTCATCTGTAAAGGGGGAGTGTTAGACAAGACTGCTTCAAAGGTTCCCTTCTAGCTCTAAATCTACATCAACTCACTAAGATTGGGAAACTGGTCGCAAAACCAACTAACCATACTATCATTAAGATTACTTATCTCCACCTTCAAACCAATTCAAAAAACATTAATTAAGCACTGTCATGCATTGGGAGATACAAACACAGAAATAAAAGTTCTTAACCTCAAAAGGCTTACATTCTACTGGTGAGGAACAACATGAACAAGGATAAGTACAAATTATATACAAGATAAACAAAAATTAAGAGGGGGGCAATAAATAAGGAAATTCTGTCCAAAAGGATAGCCTAAAAAAGTCTGTCAAATGCTATGCTAAAAATCTGTGTATGTTACATCTATGGCATTACTTAGATCTACCACAGTCTAGTAATCTTATCAGAAAAGGAAATGAGATTAGTTTGGCACGATTTATTCTTGATGAATCTATGCTGATTCTTACTGATGGACACTTTCTTTCAGAAATAATCACAAGCCATCTAGTTAACACCTTCCCAGAAATCAAAGTTAGGTCTCAGGAGCCTATAGTTTGCAAAGCCCACATTTTTTTGGGGGGAGCAAGGGGATAAATAAGGACATTTGCTCTTTTCCATTCCTATATCATCTTTAAATTTATCATGACCTTATAATCAATCAGTTGATAAGAGCTTAGCAATTACAACTGGCAGTTCTTTTGGTACCTAGAGATGTAGTCCATCTAGAACTGGTGAACTGAAATCACTGGGGAAGCTAAGTGTAGTTTCACAAAACTCATTTATTTGGGGTTCAAGCTTCCTGTTAACTTTTTTTCCTTCTATGTAGAAGGATCATTCTTCTTGAAAGAAAAGGAAACAAAAGTTAAGTTGAATAGTTTTACTTTCTATCACTTGCTATCTCATAAACTCTGACAGGTTCTATCTCTTTTAAAAAAATCTTGTTCTTGCCCACCACATGGCTGAAAATCCCTTCCATTTTCTCCCCCACAGCTCATTCTCAGAGAGGCAACATGGCATAACAGATACAAGTTATGAATCTGGAGTCACAAACTCCATTCACTTTTCATCTGTACAGTCACAAGACTGGTAATAACTCTGTCATAGGATTGTTATCAGGTGTAGTTATAATAACGATGATAACTAGAATTTATGTAGCATTTACTACATGCCAGGTACTGTATGCTGAGCACTTTACAAATATTATCTCATTTGATCCTTACAAGACTGGGAGGTAGGTGATATTATCCTCATTTACAAATGAGGAAACTGAGGCAAACAGAGGTTAAGTGACTTGCCCAAGATCACATAGCTAGTAAGTGTCCAAGACTGGATTTGAATTCGGGAATTCCTGACTCCAGCCCTAGCACTCTATCCATTGTGCCACCCTAGCTACCCTGGTTTTCACATTTTAAAGCTGGTTATACTAATAACCTATAGCATTCGTGATATTACCATTACAGAACTATGCTACTCTTTTCAAGTCCTTCTGCTATCTAAGTTTTCTTTTATATAAGGCTTTAGCAAAATAAAATCTAAACTGATCAGTAAGTTCCTTGTGTGTCCATGGTGATCTCTCTGTAGACGGTTCCTCCTCATTTAAATTGCTTGAGTTTACATTTTCAGAACTTAGTTCTTCACAATTTTCAAGCCTTCTTGGATTG